GAGCTCTGCATATCTATTAAGACAGATAATCTAACAGAGTAAAGCAAAAAGCTCTGCAGAAACCTTGGGGAGAAATAGGAAATTTATTTAGCTTCATAAAAATTTCTAAAAGCATAAAATTATCTGAGAGACTACCAGATTACCAGGAAGATTAAAACACATTTTGTACATACCACATAAGTTACGGTGTTCACATGAGGTCTCCATTTTGCTCATACTCACTTTTGAAATATAACTTTTCAGCAAAATAATTATTTTTATGCTATACAGTGGCAATGGCTCTCCATCTCAAAAAGAGCAATGAACCTCAGTAAAACTTCTTTTCACACCCGAGATCTTCCTTACTGTTTCCTGTACAAGTTGTGACCTAGCTCCAAATTGCTCGGTTTATAAATTAACTTTAATCAGAGTACAGCCCATGGCAAAATGCGAGCTGATGATTCATAAAGGTAAAAAGGCTTTAAAGTAATAAAGCCTGCTTTTGAAATTGGTTACCTCATACCTGGATTTAAGATCCATCTCTTCTCACATCCAGGCAGTTCACATATTCTTTTAGAAATAAACAGGCATGCAGATTTGGAAACCACTCAAGACTGAACCATTGAATGAATATAAAATATGTTAAGAGCAGATATGAAAGGGAATTCTGACCTTTCCTCTGATGTCTGCGTTCCTCAGCAGGACCCTTCTCACTGTGGGTGCTGATGAGCTGTAATGCACTTGAAGGAAATTAATCTGATTTGTAGGCATTATGTCTTACAGTCTTCAGATCATGCAAGTAATTTTTTTCACATCTTATCTATACAGAGACATTCATAAAAGTTAAAGCAAGCCAGTCTGTGTATATCACAGGTGGTTCAGCTTCTGTAGGGATATTCTTCTTCAGAAAAAAATAGACCTGAATCTTACATGGTATTGCTGGTGTAATTTATATATCCGTACTTGGAAGCTCTATAAGGAGTAGCCACAGTCAAGATAATCTTACCTTTGCCTCAGCTATCTAACCATTTTTTGTCACGATGTTTCTAATTTGATAAAACATCTCTTGCAGTCTTGGTACAACTAGGTTTTCAGGGAAATGTATCATTTATGCGTGACTGTTACTCCATTAGCCCTCATTAATTCCCCTGGAGACATCATAATATAATGCAGAAGCATAGGAGACTGACCCAGTTCTGACCCAGTAGAGGTGGGTAAAGTCAAAGAAATTTGATGATAGCTTTCATCAAGCCTGCATTTAAACCTATAATGATTTAAATTAAATTAATTATACTATCAATGTGACAGATAACCGAAGAATCTACTATTGTGCCACTAGTAAAATATTGATGTTAAAAATAGGAATTGTATTGCTAAAAGTAAATACTGGATATTAATCAAAGCCTGAATTTCCATAGGCAAGTGCAGAGAAAGTGACAAAGCCAGAAGTACACCTCACTCTAGCAGAGATCTGCGATTCTGCACATATAGATTTGCACAAATAATGAATATTAGTCTGAATGTTTAAGTGGGCAAGTTACACATGCAGCTTTTATAAGCCTGGATGATAAGTGCCCTATTTGCATTTACCAGTTTCTAGAACACAGCTCTCTGATTTAACTGAAACTCACAGACGCGGGAAAAATTTAAAGCTGAAATAAGCAATTTATTTTAAATTCCCTATGTTTATATATACTCTCTGTTTGGCTAACAGTTTTAGCACAAACTCTTTAGAAGTAGAATTTATACACAAATATTTTTTCATTGCTTACTTTGCACACCAGAATGCTAGAAGGCTTTTAATTTTCTGACATGTATAAAGATAATTAGAACACTGTATGGACTTGCTTAATTTCTTGGATTTCAATTATTTATATGCAAAATTCATAACTTGCATGTAGCCTTCAAAGTTCAAACAAAAGGCCCACATTAGCACTGTGCTAAATAAATTTATATTTCATCTATTTAATTTTAAATTTATTTAATTATAAATTTATATTTGATTCTCCTGGGAACTATATTGTTTTTGAAAACTGAGAAGCCTAGTTTATCTATTCAACTTCTAAAATTTTTAACCAAAAAATTTGCACATAAGCATAAAACCAGTTTCAGAGCAGGTAATTGCATTTCTGACTCTCAATTCTTTTGTTTTAACTATTCGCTGCTTCTTTATCAGATCTTTAACAATGTCTGAATACAGGCATTGATAGCGTGGAATAGGATTATTGTCAAACATAATTAAAACCACATGGTTTTCCCAACTGCATAGCAGGCAAAATTTCACTGAGATCTCAGCCCTGTTACTATTTATCTGTGCTGCTCTCTACTTTTATCTGTCTGCTTCCTATCTGGCTTCTTATCTATTTCAGGTATTTTTCTTTGCGAAACTCTAAGAAGTGTAATTTCTGATAGGACTCTGACCAAGAAATGTTCACAATGTTCTAAAAAAACAACCTCCAACAATACTCCTTTCTTTCTCTGGACTGCAAAAGCCATTGAGTACTAACCTGCTCACTATCTCACGTCTGAATTCAGTTCAAAATCCTAGCCAGATTTGCTCAGCCTCTTTCATTGTTAAGGTACTTTATGGCCCTCCTGAGATGCTGGGAGAGAAATTTGGCTGTAATTAGTTGCAGAGATGGATCGAACAGTCAGTCAGTAGGTGCTCACGTTGAACTGCACGTCTTTCTTTCTTGCCAGATTGTTGGCTGTGACCGCCAGCTGGGAAGCGCTGTCAAGGAAGACAACTGTGGGGTCTGCAATGGCGACGGGTCCACCTGCCGGCTGGTTCGAGGCCAGTATAAGTCCCAACTCTCAGCAAATAAACGTAAGCTGTCCCTTCTGGTAAAGTGCCATCTTCCCCTGTTAGTGAAATATGCATTTCTTGCAAGATAGATTTCACCCCACTCTTTCTCAGGCACTTGAATGATCATGGTCAGCCTGGTTGTCCCCACAGTTTCTTCCCCCTTGGGTTAAATCAGGCTTTCTCAGACTACACCTCTGGCTGTGGGGGTGGACAGAGGGTTGTGGAAAGGTGTCACCAGTATATTCCCCATCTCAGCTAGCTAGTTAGTTGCTTGGGAGGAGCAGGAGAATGAGAAGAGCTGGCTCTACCCACACTGCTCTGGCTGCATTAGTTGGCTCAGCACAGGACTCGGTCTGTGCTGCTCTGAACAGAGTGGTTTGTGCTGCTCTACAGCAGAGGGGAAGCCTGGGGCAATGGTGGTGCCAGCGTGGCACAGTGCTCCCTCCCAGACCTACACCTGCAGCATGTCTGCATGCATGCTGAGCATGGTGACTCAGTCCTAGGGTGGACTGAGGGGCTTAAGTCATCAAGAGGTGCCACCTACATGGATGAGCACGGACAGATGTGGGTTTTCCTGCACACTCTCTGAGCCAGCTTCAACTCAGAGTGGTAAAGCAACATTAGTGTGCCCCAGTGACAGCGTTAGTTTATCCTGGACCCCAAGCAGGCTTTTCAGCCTCGTTACAGCACCATAGATGGAGCTATGAAAGTTTTGGGATGAGAGATAGCATTGTCCGAAAAGCGGGGTTCATTCACTCTATGTGCAATATGCCAATATATACACAGAGCAGAGGTATATTATTCCATGTCTATACAGAGACTGGTGCTATAGGGGGTACTCCCACAAAGCTAGTACACCCTTGAAAATCACGCAGCAGCTTCTATACAGGATAGAAACAAACAAACTGCCCAAAAGCGAATGTTTGTTTACTTGTGATTGCATTCAACAAAAAATCATCTGCGCACGTCTCATTACCAAATCACTTAGTTATACTAAGGTGGTACTAAATTTGCATCTAAAATCTCCTCCTAGGGTTGTGTTTTTCAGCATTATCATGAAATTGTAACAAGCTAAGTTCATCATGCACTTACTATAGTGCAGCTGTGTGTCTGTGTTTGCTAACTGAGAAGGAGAGAGTAGGAGAAAGAAAAAGAGAGAAGGAAGGAAGGAAAGAAGGAAGGAAGGAAGGAAGGAAGGAGGCAAGGAAGGAAGGGAGGAAGGGAGATTAGGAGATGGAGAGGGACAGGGGAGGGGAGGGTGGGGAGGGGGAGAGAGAGGGGATAGCAAAGAAAGGAGGATGGAAGGAAGAAATGACTGAAGGAATAAACCAAGGAATGAAGTGAGAAAGGAAGAAAGAAGGGATGAAAGAAAGAAAGAAAGAAGGAAAGAAACAAAGAAAGAAAAACTATTTTGTATGAAGGAAATTAATAATCTTCATAAGAGTTCCATTGCAGAAGCAGAACTGCACATTAGAGGGCAAAGGAAATAAATTACAAAGACATAGGAATGGAATTTCACCTCATTCTTACTGTTTCTGTAACGTGCATGAACAGATTCAGAAATCTCCAGGCTGCTTAAGACATGGTAGTATTTGTATACTTTTTTGTATACAATTGTATACAATGAAATGTCTTTTTCTGTAGGAATAATTTATTGTTTTTCAGTTGCTTTGCAGTAAAAAGATGCCTCTCTGTTTTCTACTGCGGATAAAGGCACTAATATATTATGCACAGAACTAAAATGTTATTAAAATAGAGTCCCTGCTCCCAGTGGTTTGCTATTAAATGTAAAGAATCATAGAATCATAGAATCAGAGAATGGTTTGGTTGGAAGGGACCTTAAAGATCATCTGCTTCCGATTCCCCTGCCATGGGCAGGGACACCTTCGTCCCCCCTGCCAGGGGCGGGGCCCCCTTCCACTACACCAGGTTGCTCAAAGCCTCATCGAACCTGGCCTTGAACACTTCCAGGGATGGGGCACCCACAACTTCTCTAGGCGACCTGTTCCAGTGTCTCACCACGCTCACACTGAAGAATTTCTTCCTAATATCTAATCTGTCTACTCTCTTCCATTTTAAAGCCATTGCCCCTTGTCCTATCACTCCATGCCCTTGTAAAAAGTCCCTCCTCAGCTTTCTTGTAGACCCCTTTAGGTGCTGGAAGGCTGCTATGATGTCTCCCCAGAGCGTTCTCTTCTCCAGACTGAACAACCCCAACTCTCTCAGACTGTCCTCATAGGAGAGGTGCTCCAGCCCTCTGATCATCTTCATGGCCTCATCTGGACTCGCTCCAACAAGTCCCATGTCCTTCTTGTGTTGGGGGCCCCAGAGCTGAAGGCAGTACTGCAGGGGGGTCTCCCCAGAGCGGAGTAGAGGGAGAGAATCCCCTCCCTCGACCTGCTGGTCACACTGCTTTGGAGCAGCTCAGGATATGGCTGGATTTCTGGGCTGTTAGCGCACATCGCCAGGTCATGTTGAGCTTCTCATCAACCAGCACCCCCAAGTCCTTCTCCTCAGGGCTGATCTCAATCCATTCACCACCCAGCCTGCATTTGTGCTTGGGATGGCCCCGACCCACATGCAGGATCTTGCACTTGGCCTTGTTGAACTTCATGAGCTTCACGTGGGCACACCTTTCAAGCCTGTCAAGGTGCCTCTGGATGATATCCCTTTCCTCTAGCATGTTGACAGCACCACACAGCTTTGTGTCATCGGCAAACTTGCTGAGGGTGCATTCAATCGCACTGTCCATGTCACCAACAAATATGTCAAACAGCACCAGTCCTAGAATCCACCTCTGACGAAGGCCATTCATCACCGGTCTCCACTTGGATGTCAACCTGTTGACCACAACTCTTTGAGTGAGACCATCCAGCCAATTCCTTATCTACTGACTGGTCCATCCATCAAATCCGTCTCTCCAATTTAGAGACAAGAGTGCTGTGCAGGTCAGTGTAAAATGCTTTGCACAAGTCAGGCAGATGACATCAGTTGCTCTTCATTTATCCACCAATGCTGTAACCCCATCGTACAAGACCACCAAATCAGTCAGGCACGATTTGCCCTGAGTGAAGCCATGTTAGCTGTCACCAATCACCTCCTTATTTTCCATGTGCCTTAGCATAGTTTCCAGGAGGATCTGCTCCATGATCTTACTGGGCACAGAGGTGAGACTGACTGGCCTGTAGCTTCACAGGTCTTCCTTTTTTCCCTATTTAAAAATGAGGGTTATGTTTCCCCTTTTCCAGGAACTTCCCTGGACTGCCATGACTTCTCAAATATGATGGATAATGGCTTAGCCACTTCTTCTGCCAGTTCCCTCAGGACCAGTGGATGCATCTTATCAGATCCCATGGCCTTGTGCACCTTTTGATTCCTTAGATGGTGTCGAACCTGATCTTCTCCTACAGTGGCTGTTTCTTCATTCTCCTGGTCCCTGTCTTTGCCTTCTTCGACTTGGGCTGTGTGGTTGGAATATAGAATGCTATATAGGTAAAAGAAGAGATGGCAGAAAGTGTAGTCTTAGAGAGAGACAAATGTGAAAAAAATGTTGGAGAATGGATTGTTAAAGACACATTTGCATGCAAATAATTGTTGTATAGAACTGAAGTAGATAATGAGATTTTGTATGCTCTCTGTGGCATTATTCTCTCCACTGCTATAGACATACATGTTATTATTTCAAATTTTTCAATTTTGAATTTTTTTCAAATTTTTCAAATATTTCAAATTTCAAATTCTTCAAAAGTAAGTGCTCCTTTAAATTATTCTTTTACAATTGTAAAGGCACATTTATGGATCTCTTTCACATGTGTGAATTAATATGAACTCTTTTTGAGGTTTGCTTCCAAACAGTTTATATACATGCTGTGAAAATTTGAGATTTTAAATGTTGAAAAGCTTTTAAAAATCTACTCTGTGTTTATTTCCTTCATTTATCTTCCTCAGTGCTGTTTAAATACCTGTCACTTTGGCACTTTGTCTGCATCAGCATCTTGCTTATTTGTCACTGTAAATGTATCTACATAAACATACCTGGGATCAGGGCCTGATTTATTTGCTGGAATGACTGGATTACATTTGGCTAGTCAATAGCTTACTTCCCAGTTATCTATAAAATAATACTTGTTTCTCCAGAATTATATCTATTTTGTCCATGGTATGAGCAAGGCATTAAAAGCCTGTGTAAGCCAGGCTGCCGTGCAACGTAGGAAAAATCAGAAGGGACCACATATCAGCAGAGGTGTTCTGTGGGCTTACTCGGGATATTTATTTGCCTAACAGAGCACAGCATTCAATTTTGAAGACTGTGCTAGGGAAATTTGACTGTGACCTTTATTCCAGCGCTGTCCCAATAGTTTCTGAAGTTGTTTATATCTCAAAACCACCTCAGACACAGTCTTGAGCTCATCATACTGAATTCATTTTCTCTTGGTGCTCGTATCCAACTCCCTTCTCCATGCCGTTTATATCATGCAAAGGCACAGGAGAAGGATAGTACTGGAAAGAAGTTCATAGAGCTTTTAAACACTTAGCACTTGCTACAGGAACAGCTTCTTCAGTATTTATAGGGGTAGTATACATCTTCCAGTGGCCTCGGAAACAGAAGCATAGCAGGGCAGGAGGCAATGTGACATTGAATTCTCTCCTACATGTTTAGGAAAAAAGGAAGAACCTGTGTCTATGTTCTTGTTTCTATTAAAAAAAAAAATAAAATAAAAAAAAATTTAAAAAGCTACAAAAGACTTTGTTCGTTCCAGAAATATCCTTTTGTCTTAGTCCTAAGCTTGGGTGGTTCAATCTTTCTAAGTCTGCAGAACGCTAATCTTTCTTTTTTCATATAATATCTCCTTTTTTTTTTTGTATGTATCTTCCTATGGATATGATCTGTATTTAAGCAGGTTCTTTTGTGCTCACCAAGGAGCTGGAGCGTTGATCTTGTAAGTGGTGGGTGAATTCCTGATCACCTTGTGCAAAGTTAGTATTACCCTAAAAAAGGATGGACATCTGCTAGTGAAGTAGATTAGTTCTTTTAAAAGAGAATTGTAGAAATTGCTATGCTGAGGCAGAATGGATATTTAACTGATTACTCTTGCCATGGTTGTCACAAACAGCTCCAGATTTCCACTGAATATCAATAGTAATGGGGAAATAGAAACAAGCTATTCTTCATCATGAGAACTGACAGTTAGATCATTTGGACAAAATCCAAGTTCAAAATCCAAAACCGGAAGAAACTGATCTCTCACAGGAATGTGATGAATGTACCTGACATATAGGCTTTGCCTAAATCCCTGTGCTTTCTTCACAGCCTTGGGCCACTGTCCTCTCAGTTTTCTGGGACTCTCCCTTGCCTCCCTATCCGCCTTCTCTGGAGGAAACCAACCGCCTGTTAATACATTTCACACCTTTTCTTCTTGAGTGCTCCACACAGCTGCTCCACAATCTGCCTCTCTGCTTATTATTGGAGGGAGCGGTTGCTAAATGTTACCATACTTACTTTCACATGTCTCTTCACAGGAAACATCTCCTTCTTATCACTGTTAACCTTAGGAAATTATCCTTCACTCCCAACTACTTCTTCTTTGTGAAAGCAGGAAGCACTGCGATAAGCGTAAATCCCACTGAGCTTTGCGTTTCACAGAAAGTTTGCTAGGATTTCAAATAGAAAGCAACAAAAGATCAGGTGAAATATAGTCCAAGCAATACCCTGAAGAGATATGTTAAGAATACATGATATATAAGCCTGTATGACCTTTAAACTGTCCGATTTTAGTGTGACATATCAGTGAGTTGTTAACTCTCCAGCACAAAGCTCATAATTGACAGATAGTCAAATATAATAAGAGACCGTCTTTAAACAAGACTTGTAAGAAGACTATTAATATTTTTTGAAAAATTGAAGTCATTGTTTTCCCAGACTCATTCCACATTTCACATTTTTGAGATAATATAGCTTTGGATGAATGGATGTGTTGTTTAAAAGAAGTACCTGTTTCTTGCAGTTTTCCCTCTTTCTGTTGCGCCTCTTCATTTTTTAACAGAAAATTACGACATTGGTAACTATTTTGCTGGTAACTGTGGATCCTGATTTAGCTGGGCTGGAACAGATTTCCCAGTTTGATCTGGTCAGAAACTTAAGGCCCCAGCTCATGTGTTTGGGTGAAAGATAATATGCTTTTATTTGCTGAGTTAGCCTTACCTGACAAAGCAACACATTGCTTTAAGAGCAGCGTTATAGTTCTTGCTAGTGGGCATTAGATGACAGAAAAGTGAGCAGTTTTAAAGAACAGATAGTGAAAGGAGTTTCTTTCCTCTCATGTATACCACCTCCCCCTAAAAAATCCTGTTAGGCATGCGAACTTTTTGTTTCCCAATGTTTAGTTACAGGAGAAGGAGGTAGAAAGGACAGGGAAAGGTGAATGAAGAACATAGGCATGTTTGTTATTCCAGGTGAGCGTTCTCTGGGCACCCACTCCTCAACCCAGGCACAGAGTTGGGAGCATTTTCTAGCGTCTTCTGACACCTTTCCTTCCTATCTCCCTTCAGGACATTTCTGACATTACTGCCTCTTTAGAAATGCTGACCTTCCTAACTTTCACAGCAACGTATGACCTACACGCTACTTCAACCTCAGTTTAAATCCAATTCGCCAAGCTCCAAAGGGCTTCATAGGCGCAAAATCCTGCTGTAAGACCTGTTCACATGACAGTCTAATGGCCTTCTGTATTTCCAGGGGTTTTCTGTTCATGGTGTGGAAAGGGAAGCAGAATTACAGCACTTCTAGTCATTAAAATAAAAAGTGTGAAAGGGAAGGCAGTGGGAAATCATCACATGGCATGGGCGGGTCCATGGAGAAGCTGTAGGATTCAGCTGGGAAAGAATCAAGTGAAGGAATGGGCTGTTCTGGTTAAACAACAGAATAGGCTTATTCTTCTTTATTTCACCACAAACAAATTCAAAAGACTTGGAAGAGGTTTAAGTGGAGTCATGGTAAAATAGAAAGCTATTAGTTACTTTTGAAATCCAGAAATGGTTATGAAGGAGTTGAGAATAAAGAAAATCAACAGGTTTGGGTTCTTCTAAGTGGAAGGTTCTTACCACAATTTACAGTTCTTTTTTCAGATTTGTAATGTTCTCTCATAATTCATAGAGTTGTTTAATTGGTCCAAAGGTTTTTCTTTTGACTGTCTTGTAAGCACCTATTTCACTACTTTTTTGAAAACAGATGGGAATTTCTTTGCTTATTTACTCCATGCATTTTTGCCTTCCCACAGTGGATGATACAGTGGTTGCTATTCCCTATGGAAGCAGGCAAGTTCGCCTCGTGTTGAAAGGACCTGATCATTTATGTAAGTAGAAAAAGTTCCTGTACATTTGTTTAAGAAAGCCTTGCTAACCCACAGTACTCTGTTGACACTGTGGTATCTGATTTCCTTCTCTCAGATCGCTGATTTTGACACAGGGATGAGTAGTGCCCTCAGAAGCTCTCCTTGGACCCTGTTAAAGGCTTTTTTCAGGGCAGAGCTTGGCCAACTTTGCAGAATCCTCTGCCACTCCATAATTTTTCAGTCATTTCTGCTTGCTTATCCTTTGGCTGGCTTGCTTGGTGCCAAGTGCTTTTGTTTAAAAATAATAAAATATATCCCACTGAATGAAGAAATATTGAGGACGCTAAAGTATAAGCTTCCCTGCAGCTGAGCTTAGCCATCAAGCTGCTCATGACTTTAACATGCTTCTGTTACGATAATGTCTCTTACTCCCATAGATGCACACACACTTGCACGTGCACACCCACACTAAATCACAGAATCACAGAATCGATTTGGTTGGAAGAGACCTCTGGGATTATTGAGTCTGACCTTTGCCCTAACACCACCATGTCAATGAGACCATGCCGCATCCAGTCTTTTCTTAAACACCTCCAGGGATGGGGACTCCACCACCTCCCTGAGCAGTCCATTCCAATGCCTAACAACCCTTTCTGTGAAGAAACATCTCCCCATTTCAAGCCTGAACTTCCCCTGGTGCAGTTTCAGAATATGGCCTCTTGTCCTGTCACTAGTTGCCAGGAGAAGAGGCCGACCCCCACCTCACTACAACTCCTTTCAGGTCATTGTAGAGAGCGATCAGATCTCCCTTCAGCCTCCTCTTCTCCACACTAAGCAACCCCAGCTCCCTCAGCTGCTCCTCATAAGACTTACCCTCCAGACCCTTCACCAGCTTCGTTGCCCTTCTCTGGACTCACACCAGCACCTCAATGTCTTTCTTGTAGTGCGGGTCCCAGAACTGGACACAGTATTCGAGGTGTGGCCTTACCAGTGCCAAGTACAGGGGACAACCACTTTCCTAATCCTACTGGCCACACTATTCCTGATACAAGCCAGGATGCCACTGGCCTTCTTGGCTACCTGGACACACCACTGTCTCATGTTCAGCCAACTGTCAACCAGCACCCCCAGATCTTTTTCCACTTGACCGTTTTCTAACCATTCTTCCCCCAGCCTATAATGTTGCATGGGGTTTGTGTGGCCAAAGTGTAGGACCCGGCACTTGTTCTTGTTGAACCTCATGTCGTTGGTCTTGGCTCATCTATCCAGCCTGTCCAGGTCCCTCTGCAGAGCCTTCCTACCCTCCAGCAGATCGACACTCCCACCCAAACTGGTGTCATCTGCAAATTTACTGAAAGTGCCCTCAATCCCCACATCCAGATCATCTATGAAGATGTTAAACAGCACTGGCCCCAAAACTGAGCCCTGGGGAACACCACTAGTGACAGGCCACCCACTGGATTTAGATCCACTGACAACAACTCTCTGGGCCCAGCCATCCAGCTGGTTTTTTACCCATCGAAGAGTCCACCCATCTAAGCTGCAAGCAGCCAATTTATTTAGGAGGATGCCACAGGTAACTGTGCCAAAAGCTTTACTAAAGTCTAGGCAGACAACATCCACAGCCTTTCCCTCATCTACCAAGCGGATCACCTTGTCAGAGAAGGAAACCAGATTGGTCAAGCATGATCTTCCTTTCATAAATCCATGTTGGCTGTCCCTGATCCCCTGGTTGTCCTGCATGTGCTGTGAATGGCACTCAGGATGATCCTTTCCATAACCTTGCCCAGAACCAAGGTCAAGCTGACAGACCTGTAGTTCCCCAGATCATCCTTCCAACCCTTCTTGTAGATGGGCATTACATTTGCTAACTTTCAGTCTGCTGGAACTTCTCCAGTTAACCACGACTGCTGGTAGATGATTGCGAGTGGTTTGGCAAGTTCTTTTGCTGGTTCCCTCATTACTCTGGGTTGAGTTCCATCAGGGCACATAGACTTAGGAGAGTCTAACTGGCACAGCAATCACCACCCACCTCCTCCTGGATTATGGGGGACTCATGCACATCCCCATCCTTAACTTCTGACTCTGGGGGCTGGGTGTCCTGAGGACACCTGGTCTTGGTATTGAAGACTGAAGCAAAGAAGGGACTGAGCACTTCTGCTTTTTCCTTATCCCCTGACACTACACTACCCTCTGCATTCAGCAAATGATGGAGACTCTCCCTGACCCTTGCTTTGCTGCCAATGTATTTAGAGAAACCTATTTTTGTTATCTTTAACTGCAGTGGCCGAAACACGTTCTTCTCCTTTACCAAAAGGTAATAGGACTTTCCTGCAGCACAGACCAGTTAGAGTCCTCTATGCTTGTCAGTGTAAATACAAACATTAGTGGCAGCAAGGAAGTGAAACACCAAATCATCCCCACTGTCTTCAGATTTCTTTTGCCTAAATAACTTACATTCAGTGGCAAAATAAGAGGTGGTTTATCAGTCTTGTTCTGTAGCTCACTGCTTGTGTTGAGAAAGCAGTGGGCATGTCATAACTTTTTAATGGTTCTTTAGATTTAGAATTGTGAATAAAGGCCAGCAAATTACAGGTTATAAACTAAGAAAAAATGTATTATGTTTTTCTTAAAAGTTCAAATGCTGCCTGTGCTTCAATTTTAAGTGGCTCTTTGGGTATTTCTGAGCTGCTCCACTCTGGTTATTATTACTTGGGAAAGTAAATGATTTACACTCATCCTTTCTCTCCTGTCTTCTTTCTCAGTATAGATATTCTCTTTCAAGGTAGAAAAATTTCATAATTTTATTATTTTTTCAGTTAAACTGAACTGTAAGACAACCTAAAGACAAATGAGATTTTAGCAGGAGAGATTGATCTAAAGCTCTCTTCACTCAGGCCATATCACATTTCAGGACAAAAAGATTTGAACCAGTGAGGTCTGCCTGAGTCACTGGTTGAGATTTAGATTAACTGCTCTATGTAAACATGAATAAGTCCAAATACATCTCTTTCTTGTTTCAGATGTCTCCATAAATCTTCCTGTTCACCCATCAAAGGATTTTATATACGTATGAGCTACAATCAGTTGTGGGGGAGAGAGTATTTTGCCCTGTGAACTTTGGTTGTGGGAGAAGTCAACAGGAGGTCGATTATATATACACAAGTCTTAAAACCGTATTTATCCCTGATGCTTGCAGCCTTGTCCAGAAATAAATATATGGCTGAGTACATCAAAAAGGAAGAGACTAGTCTCACTGAAAATTCAGGAATTCATTAATACAGAGCAAATTCTTAGTGTACATCAACAGCAATTCCTTCACAAATTAATTCCCATGACCCATCCTGAAAAGCAGTCTAATTACTGCAATTATCATTTTCCCCCTAATTAACAACCTAATACGTGATAATAAAAACAGTTCTCACATTTACTGTCTCTGAAAGTATGATTTCATCACAGATTAATATTATGTCCCCAGCTAACTCAGATTTTGCCCTAGCTGCCTCTGTATGTGAGAGAAGATTTTGTACATAATTTCACAAATACATGTGAAAGGATTATAGCTTTGCAATCCTTCATGATGAAACGCGTTGTCACTTCGAAATAACTACGAGAAACAGTTTACTACTGAACGTGCTGTAAGGCGTAATCTGGAGTTGATAGGGAAGCTAGCTAGATGATGGAACAAATCTGCTTTCTGACTGTTGATTTCCATTTAATAAATTATTTTATATATTTATTATGATTTAACAACCAGTAGTAACTGCTACCAAACTGTGTCTGAATTAATGCCCAATTTTTGGGAGCTGTGAATGCAAAGAGTGCCAAAGTGAGAGCTCAGGAGGGTTCATGACTCGCCTTCCTTTCCTACTCTGCTGGAATGGATCAGACTTCTTCTGGAGAGGAGGAAGGATTGCTGTCCTACTGATCTATCTTTCCTGGATGTTTTGCTTTCAGTTAATTGTCTACCACAGCAACATGTGGTTAGTGATCCACCTTTGAACTGAAAGAGGGAACAGCAACTTAACAAAGCCAGCAGTCATAGACGAAGGTCTGAGTCATGTTCTGCATAGGAGAGTGACTTACGGAGAGTGAGACAAATGACAGCAAATATACCTAACTAGGAATGGATTAATATGTCTGGAAGAGAATAAAAACATGACCTATGGGTGAGGAGGTGAACGCGGAACTAGAAGTCTAAGGGTTGAACAAAGCCAAAAAGCAGATGGAGAATTTAAAAAAAAAAAAAAGGAAAATATGGGAATGTGAATAAACTGTGGAAAGGAACAAAAAAGTTTTCATGATTCTAGGAGGCAAATCTGCACCACCACTGTTTTGTGTTGTTTTTCTTTTTCTGCCTTCACTTACTCTTACTTCAAATTATAATGCTATAGTTTCCTGTTAATTTGTTTGCATTTGTCAGATTTGGAAACCAAGACTCTCCAAGGTGTGAAGAGTGAAAACAGCCTGAGCTCCACAGGCTCCTTCCTCATGGACAATTCTAGCATTGACTTCCAGAAGTTTCCTGACAAGGAGATATTAAGAATATCTGGACCTCTCAGTGCAGACTTCACTATCAAGGTGAGGGTCATTGGTCATTGACCTCTTAGAGCAACATAAAGACAAGATGCATTAGAAAGATGAGAGAGATTTTTCTAGATCTTAATTTTCCAGTAGACATTTACCACAAAGCCTAGTTCAAGCCAGCTCTTGAACTATACATGAAATTCTTTACATTTACATATCTGATGAAAGCCTCATTGGACACTTCTCAGGAAACAGACTGAATTTATACCAAGAAGGGCATACTCAAAGTGTGCCCTAAAGAGAAAAGATGAACTCATTATAAGAAAAGGCAGATTACTTTCTGTATGTGCTGCTGATGGACGTATAAATCAAGGACATGTAGCTTGCTTTGTCTGTGACAAGTAAAAACAGAGAAAGTCTGTATCTTTGGCCCATGATTTGTGGGGTTTATACTAGTGTAATTGCACAAAAGACTGTAAGGGAGTGGAGAATGTGGTCCCCAAGCTCCAAAATAAATGGGATGAATTTTCTTGAGAAATCATGGTGGCATTTTGAAGTTCTGCTTTGTGTTGCACTGGCAATAAGAATAAAATTGTTTCCTCCCGTTAGAGCATTTCTATTCTTCCAGGTAATATAAAACACATTGCTGGAAGCAATGCACGCATTCTGTGGGAAAACACACATACAAAAATGAACATTGGGGAATTACAATAAAATAAATCTTTTTCCAGTAGGTCCAAGGAACTTTAAGGATTTCAGCTGTAAAACTGTAAAATCTGTATCATGTCCAGGACTACATAAATTTTTCACCAAGGGCCCCAGAGGTAGATGACATTTGCTTTAACCTAGAGCTGATGGCAGCTAGAAGTTTAACAGTGAACTGGAAAATGTAGTAAGTGATTGGGTTGGGTTAAGCTGGGCTGTGCTGGAATCGGTTAGCTCAGGAAGTAGCAGAGGTCTGTAGACTGTCCTCTACCCATCTTGGTATGTTAGCAGCACAAAAAGCAAGCTGAGATTATCAGGATTGGTTCACAAGGAGAAGCCTGACCTGAAGAATGCATTCCTTTCTCTTTGAAGGTCAGAATGAAAATGCCTTAATAAAAGAGATGCTGGTCAATTCAAAATGTCTAAAACACTTTTACCTGTAATACATATGATATCCAGATGATGAACATCAGTGCAATGTAAACAGTGCTGTCCACTTTGCATTATTTGTGCTGTCTATGGATTTAAGGCAGCCTGGTTAGTTAGAATATACCTGCTGGGGACAGCTTGTCATGTAGACCAATGGCCATAAAATGGTAAAAGGAGGGTTGGACTGTGTTCCTGCTATTTCCACTGATACCTTTTATGACAGGGAAAATACCTTTATGCCCTGGCACTTGCATTTCCTTCTCTGTCAAAGCAAGGTAAGAAGCGCTGGTTAAATCAAAGGCAGCACCCTACTTGCATGATGACTGGCCAGTATGGACATACAAGCGGGCTAGGCGTGGGCAGAACAGACACTGTTGAGTTGAGATTAAACTGTTTTAACAGTTCTGCTATGTGTTTGAACTTTTTGAAAGTCAGAGTATCACCGCTCAGCAGGTGTTAATTTATTGATATACCCATTGTCTTAAGTGGATATAGAAAAATGCGCAAACAAAACCGCTGTCCACAGTTGTAGGATCTTTTCTAAGGTTAACATTGTATTTTGCCTTTAATTAGGCACTTAAAAATTCCTTGCATTTGAATCACAGTTAGTTTTTTAATAAACAGTTATAGAAGATACTTTAGCTATTGCTTCATGCAACAAGTATATTACTCTATACTATTTAATTATTTTTCTAACAGAATCTTCCAGCTTCTGGATATTTCATTTGTTAGATTTTGTTGGATATAGGAGTGCACATACAAATAAGGCTAACACAGGAGTACAAAAATGCGTGCATGCCTGTCAGTTATGTCAGAGTGGGCAACTGCTTTCCATACATACTGTAACCATGACTATTTTGCCTTTAGCTTCTGAAGGTAAAGTACATTTTAAAAAATCACAGGAAAGGCTTCTCCACAGTATTAGCAAGTTTTCCTTACAAAGTGGCATCTCTTTGGGTGTCAAGATTTACTTTCCTGGAACAAGGTAATTTTTACGCAAACAGATCCAAAGGAATTTCTAGATGTAGCAGAACTCTAGTTTTAGGATCATTGTCTCCAGAATGACTGGAACCAGCAGTGTACCCAGCTAGCCAAGAAGGCCAGTGGCATCCTGGCTTGTATCAGGAACAGTGTGGCCAGCAGGATGAGGGAAGTGATTGACCCCCTGTACTCAGCACTGGTGAGGCCGCACCTCGAGTACTGTGTCCAGTTCTGGGTCCCTCACTACAAGAAAGACATTGAGGTGCTGGAGCGTGTCCAGAGAAGGGCAACGAAGCTGGTGAAGGGCCTGGAGAACAAGTCTTATGAGGAGCAGCTGAGGGAGCTGGGGTTGTGTAGTCTGGAGAAGAGGAGGCTGAGGGGAGACCTGATTGCTCTCTACAACGACCTGAAAGGAAATTGTAGTGAGGTGGGGGTTGGCCTCTTCTCCTGGCAACTAGTGACAGGACAAGAGGCCATAGTCTGAAACTGCACCAGGGGAAGTTCAGGCTTGAAATGAGGAGGCATTTCTTCACAGAAAGGGTCGTTAGGCATTGAAATGGACTGCTCAGGGAGGTGGTGGAGTCCCCATCCCTGGAGGTGTTTAAGAAAAGACTGGACGTGGCACTTAGTGGCATGGTCTGGTTGACATAGTGGTGTTAGGGCAAAGGTTGGACTCAATGATCCCAGAGGTTTCTTCCAACCAAATGAGTTCTGTGATTCTCTAATAATCCTTTTCAATTGACTCTGAATGCTCTTATCCAGAGAGGCCAGGTTAGACACCTGGATATAATTCAGCAGTAGAAACTCAATGTGGGAGCTGACATTTAATTTTTTTTATTGGTGACACAGTGTTTTAAAACTGCAAGAAGAAACCTCATGCTGTTCCTATAGGAGCTGAATTGTAGAATTGCTAGATTTCTTGGCTTTGTAATACTGGTAAATTCCTTGTGTGCTAAACTCTTGGTAATATTTACACAAGATATGTTAAATGTTAAATATAATTCCATAAAAGAGCTTTCTTTTTAAAAAATATATGTTTTATCACAAAATAGGAGAAGAATTGGGATTTTTCAAGTTCTTATTTTTTATATTCATAGTTTGAGAATTATAGATCTCCATTATAAACTTTTAATGTTTGAAAGGCAGAAGACCTGGAAAAGATGCCAGTAAACTTAAATTCTACTTGAATTTTTTTCCTAAATTCTGAGGATTTCACAGTTTTGATGTTTTCAATACAAAAATCCAATTCACGTGAATAGAAATACCTTTTTTCTAAAAGAAAAATGTGTCATGTTTGATAAAATCCTGGTGAAATGAAGGTTGGTTTCACTTGGAACTCTTTCTGACTGACATTGTGATCTGGAGAACAAAGCAGTAATATCACATAAGGGAACCTGTCCCTTATTGGCAGAGCTGCCACTGATCTGCTGTGTTGCCAAGGTCACATATTCACCTGTCTGGGCTAATGAATCTTCTCTATTGATACTGTCTATTTCAGACACAAAATAGAGAAACTTGGAGTGACCATTTCATGTCACACATCTGCACTCCTTTGAGCAGGATGAATCAATACTGTCCAATGGAGTCTACAGCTGAAAACGTAATGCTAACGGTCATCACTGATGCAAATACGAACAACCAGTGTTACAGGCTTACTAAAACAGCCAGGGAAGAGTTAGGCCTGGCAAAGCACAGCCTGTTAGGGTTTGGTTCAGAGGCTATGATTTTTGCATAGCTAGGGCACTAGCCCTGTGGCTGAGGTGTGAAGCAGCAAACACCAGTGAGTTTAAAACGAGGTCTGGTAAAGGGTGTTGTCCAGGCTGGGGACTGATTTCGAAGAGAAAACACTGCTGGCCTAGATCTAGACTAGACTAGATTTATGTTGAGTTTTGATCCCTGGTATCAAGTTGAAAGTATTTTCATAGGGCCTGCAAGGATGAACAGCTTTGCATCAGGGATGTGCAGGGCTGGATTGGATAAATGTCTGTCTGGAGGCTGTCAGACAAGTTTGGATTAGGACTGGATTTGTATTGATGTTGTCTTTTGTATTGCTAAGGCGGACAAGCTTTGGTTAACAGGTGCTGCCAGAAGAGGCGGCCTGGCTATTTTTTTGTGCTAGTGGCTGATAGATTTAGAAATGTTGTGGACTGGGTTCCCTTGAACGGAGTTATTGCTGAGATTAGGATTTTGCCCACCAATTGTCCAAAAAGTCATAAAATGGAACTCAAAACTGGATACTGAGTTGCACAGAGCACTAGAGCTAGCCAGACAGTTCTTACCTCACTTGTGAACTAGCACTGGCAGAAACTGCTGGTCAGAGAAATGCATTTGATTAGAATCCACTTTAACAAAACAAAATAAGGTTGGGTCTTAGCCTAGACTTCCTGGGACTTGCAAGGGCATGCCGGAGATAATGCATGTACAGCCAGCCAGCTGGCAGAGAAGTGGATGGACCTTGTCAGGCTAGGGCCAGGATTGGATTAAATAATCACTTTTGAATGAGGATCATGCAGTGATTTATCTTGTGGAATGAAATAAGAAATTATTTTAATACTTGCTTTACAGCAGAGGCCAAAAAATGCAGATTTGCTCTAGCAGCAAAGACCTACTGTTTATGGCTAGCTTATTGTTGGATTTTGGAGATATTAGCATATGGGGATTGGGGGTGATGACAGTAATGGTCTTCTGTGTAATTTAGTTCTGATGCTGGCAAAGATTTCCAGAGAAGATTATATGTCATATTTGGGAGAAGGCTGCAGGTCACATAGGAAGTGGTGAAGGATCTAAACTTGGAAGCACTGCTGGATCAGGGTTAGGATGGTGCTCTTGGGAGTAGATGAGCTAGAACTAAGGCTGAGCACACAGAAATAGTAAGAGTTAAAGTTTAGTTGTGACTGAGTCAAGTTTTGTGTTATCAAGGTCAAATGACCAAAACACTT